ATGAAATGTGGATTGACCACCCTTTAAGACATGTAGTTTCGCCCCTGGTTGTAGCGAGTCAAGTATTTATGTAAGGGGATTAAAAAAAATTAAAATGTCACACCTACGATTTGAAGCTGTGAGATAAAGCAAATTTTTATCCAAATTGCTACTACACAAGAATCTTTTCTTATTTCGAGGAAATTCAACCGTTCATATATAACAAACAAAAAATTGTTTTACCCTTATTTTTTGACTTTACTGTTAGGTTAGGTACAATATTTGAAACAATAAATAACATTTTCTTCTGTATGTATCGATTTTAGTAGATATAATTTAGTAACTATAGTGAAATTAACTCGTGCAGGTGCTAATATTTCACACTTCATGGCAATCAGAGCTGGGAAATCAGACGAAGGCGCTTTAGGAATGAAGTTTTCTGGGATGCTCATGATTAGTCCATATTTCTGGGGAGAAAAACCTATTGGTATAGAGGTTAAAGATCCAAGAAAAGCAATGGTGGATAAATGGTGGAAATATGTTTGTCCATCAAATAAAGGAAATGATGACCCTTTGATCAATCCTTTTGTTGATGAAGCACCAAAGCTTGAAGAAGTGGCTTGTGATAGGATTCTTGTTTGTGTTGCAGAAATGGATATTCTGAGAGACAGAGGGATATTGTACTATGAATCTTTGGTGAAGAGTCAGTGGAAAGGAAAAGCAGAAATTATTGAAACTAAAGGGGAAGATCATGTTTTCCACATCTTTAATCCTAACAGCGAGAAAGCACTTGATTTGGTCAAATGTTGGGCTGTTTTTATTAATGAAAAGTAACAGCCTGTGATGGTGATATGTTGCTTTAGGCAAATTCTTGGGTTGCTAACTTGTCATGTCAAAATTTGTATAATTATAAACTCCACCTGTTTCATTCCAATGTAAACATTTTTTTTCCATTCTAATGTAGACTTTTCTATTTGTTTTAAAGTTTTTTAAGCCCCATTTGTCTCTTTCAAGATTAATTTAAATTTTAGGACATTTCATAGATAAATCTGGCACGAGTCATGCCTTTTTTCTGCAAATACAAAAAAGTGCAACCTCAAGAGATAAGCATGTTGCTCAAGATAGACAAAGGCCTAACAGAAATGTATCTGATGCACAATATGCAGACATCAAATATAGTCAAGTATTGCAAACAACAATTATGTGTTCGAAATTCAATGCTTGGCAACCTGAAATCTTAAAGGAAATCCACAACTTTGGTACAAAAATTTTACCATCTCATCCACTGTGTCCTCAGACTATAATCCAGTCCCAAATTTATACTACTCGGATAAAGTTTATGCTCTAATGTCTAAGCTAAACAAATAGCTCTCATCAATTGCTACTGCAACATATATCAGTCAAAAAGAAACTATCTCCAGTATAAGAAAAGTGACCAACATTGTCACAAAGTTAGAGCATAGTGGCAGAAATCTGTCAGACAACATAATTTTACACCATATTTCAGTCCCTTCACGCCATTTGATACAACTGGAATGAGCATTAGTTTAGGATCATACACGACCTTAGAGTATCTCTAAATATAGAACACCATAGTCATTCTATTAGACTTAAGTAGAGCTACATAAAGAGGCAACAACAACTCTCGAT